GTGAAAGTGCGCTTTCATCCAGAGCGTCTCTCACATGTTCCGCCATGTGCTTCTCGTCCGTGCTTATTTACATCAGTGCGCATGCGTCTTTCACGCAGCATACAGCGGTGTTGTGCATTTTGACCAGTTGATGGGAAAAGTATTCTGAAATGCATTCAAAATTCTGAATAACTTGTAATATATAATTATTCACGGTATTTAGAAGAGCCCACGATAACAATATCGTGCATATTCATTACCGCGATATATCGCATCACCGAATACCGGCACAAGTCTAATTGCAAGTGACGTCGCAGGTGTCAGAGAGTGCAAGTGGCGATTGCAAGTGACTTCGTAATTTAGTTTCTTTTTTCTTGTCTTCACCACCTGGCTACTGTTGTAAAATGTTGAGAGATTCAAACAAAAAGTAATCAATAAATAGAACAAAATAAAAAATAATAAAGACTGCAAGTGACGTCGCTAGCGGAAGTGCAAGTGTCTGAGAGTGCAAGCCTGAGAATGCACGTCTGAGAGTGCAAGCGCTAGCTGCAGCCAGACCCTTTTGAAACTAGTAGGTGTGTTCGACTGAATGTATACGCGGACTGACTGTGCAGACCGATCAGTGTATTACAGTACCACGAGCTATAGAGAGCAGACTGCTCCGTACGCTTTCGAATCGCTCTCGCGGATGTCAAACACATATCGATCTGCGCCGCGCCGCTTCTAGTCGAGCACACCTGCAGGCTTATTGGCCCACGGACGTTGATGAGATTAACCCCTTAGGTATCGAAATTTGATACTGAACGACGAGATGTTTTTTGATACTCTATGGTATTGAGGCAATTCGGTCGGTGCCTAAAAAGTATCGAACTCGATACCCAGCCCTATTCATCGAGGACACTCTTATTTGTTATTGACACAAATACGACCGATTTCAAACACTGCTTGGAAAGAATTCATGTCTGTCTGTCTTGGTTTTATTTTCGCTAGACTGTCCAGTCGCTGCCCTGTGATTGTGTGTTTGTATTTGTGATGTGGCTCTGAGACAGGGTTGTTACTGGCGACTGGCAGATGTAGAGATGCAGCTCTGGGCACACGTTCATGTCTGCGGTGGGTTCTACTGCTTACTGGATTGTGTCGTTGACACGCATACTGTAATCCAGCCCTGGGTAAGCCAGCAAACTCAAACTCCAACAATGGGCTGAGACAGACCACGGGTCAGTTTTGCCACACAACTCTACCTGTTGGCCAATCCGGACCTCCAAATTGGCCATAGCATGATTTAAGACTTGTGGGACGATTCCATCAATCACTGATGGATCTGAAACACTGAGCCTCAGCTGCAGGCTTGACCTTCCAGACATTGAGAATGGAATATGTATTACACACACAGTGAGCCTCCTGCTCCAAGACATTATCATGCTATCTTTAAAACATTATGTGCAATATGTCCACCCTGACCTCAAGCCACAGCGCTGAGGAGAAGTGGCTCAAATGGCAGCTGTTTGGGAACACGCTCAAAGTACAGGCTGGATTCGCAATCGTCACGGCTTCACTCAGAGATCACTCACTGTCTGTGAAAGTAATGACAAATTAAAAACCTCCCTGGCTCTTCATCACTCAGAATCAGAACTCAAAAGTATAGGATGTTGAGAGACACCACAGCTTTTTTCATTTATGGTTTAAGTACTTCCATGTTCCACAATTTGTGGTTTGATGTCTTGGCTGCTTTGTAAAAACTGATATGTACATGTTTGGAAAAAGAGTCGTTTCCTCGACATGCTGTCCACGCTGTTTTATCCACTGTTTGCATGCTTGTAAATTATGAATGAGGAGTAAAATGACATTTTCCAACATTAAAAAAGGGGAAACAATGAAAAGGGTGAATTTGAGAGCTTTTAAAATGAGATGTTTAAACAAGTAGGTATAAAACGCTGTGCTATCTTGTGAACATGAACATCTTTTTTTTTTCTTTTGGTCATTTTTTTTTTTTGTATTCAATTCAGTGCCATTTTTCTGCTTGAATATTTATTATTATTGATGGCTCTTAATGATAGGCTAGTTGTTTTATTTCTCTCTCTCTCTCTCTCCCTCCATAATAATAATAATTATAAGTATTTGTTTGTTTGTTTCCAGTTTTGATGTGTTCTTAGTGCTAATGAAATCCTTGATCCTTGGACGTTATTTTTTTTCTTATTTAGTTTTGTTTTGCATAGTAAAAACCCTTTTGGAAAAGTTGTGTCTATATATTAATCTCCTCTACAGCACCGTTACTATATCCATACATATGCAGACAGATGTTTTTGTGTCGCGTCTCAGTTGTTTGAGCATCCTGCAATGAACATTGTGGTTTTAAGGTGCTGTGTCAAGTTAAATTAGTCAAAAAAAAAAAGAAAAAGCTAGATAAACAGTTGTTTTTCCATCATATGTATGATTGCATTGTGTATTATAGCCGGCGCATTGTATTGTCCAATCATAATCCAGAATTGGAACTGTCTAGCCTTTTTAACATCAGAACATCAGTCAATAGACCCGAGTCAAACCCTTGTTTTCACAGGAGCTTTGTTAAATTAGTAGCACAGCCAATAGCACTATGCAGTATACGTTTTATTGACAAACTGTATGTTAATGCTAATCTATGATGCATGATATAATCACTTCTTGTGAAGCGGCAGACAGTCGGTCGAATTAAGAGTCAGACGCAGCAAATCATTAGTGGTTGCTTCCAAAGCCAATTGTTTTGTCAGTGAAGCACAAGCTATTGATCATCTTCATTTACATGGAGTGCTCGATCAGCTCCGCGTCAGTGTCAATAATCTGGCCTCTTTGGTTCCAATTTCGTCTATAGTTAGACTCTTGACATCCTTAAGTTTATTACTGACGTTTGAGCAACTTATGTACACTTAGCCACGGCTCCAACAGAATACCTGACTTGTTAGATTGGTATTCTGCTCCAGACCCACTGGGTTGAGCAGTGCTGATGCCATGCTTATTACCACAAGACTAATATCCTGCGGAAAGCAAAGTGCCCAGCACAGCGTCTTACCAGAAACATTCTGTTAAGATGGTTAATATGGCAGGCCAGGCTGTGCCAGCTGAGTGCGGAACACCTAATGAGGATTAATATCTGCCTTTATCACGAGCAGCAGCCACTGCTTTCACTTAACTCCCATCTCCTTGATGAAGGTAGAGAGGAAATAACTACAGAATGGCCAGTGTGAGAAAGTTTTCTGGTGGGTCTTGATCTTGTAATGTGTTTTGGGAACTTAAACATTAAGTTTTGTGTTATTGCAAATTACAATAAGAATGTACTAGCCTTTTTTGTTTTAGTTTTAGTTTTTAGTTTTATTTTGTTTTACTTTGCTTTGCTTTTTGTTTTGTTTTAGTTTTTTGTCTCATTTTATTTTGCTTTTTTATTTGTTTTTGCTTTGTTTTTCTTTGCTTTGCAGTGCTTTGTTTTGTTTTTCTTTTCTATGCTTTTTGTTATGTGTTTTTTTGTTTTGTTTTTCAACAACAAATTTTTTTTTTTAAATGTTTTGAAAGAAGTCTCTCTAGCTCACCAAGGCTGTATTTACATGATGCTCACTAAGGCTGTATTTACTTAAAATTTACAGTAAAAAAAAACACATTAATGTGAAATATTATTGATTCAAAATAACTGTTTTCTGTTTTAATATATTTTAATTGTAATTTATTCCAAAGCTGAAATTTAGCAGTAATCCAGTCCTCAGTGTCACTTTACCCCTTTAGAAATGATTCTACTATCACTTTTAATCAATTTGATGCATCCTTGCTGAATAAAAGTATTCATTCAAACTCATTTCCTTGATTATTTGTCATTAAAGGGGTCATATGATGCGATTTAAATGTTTCCTTTCTCTGTGTTACAAGCTCTTGGTGCATAAAGAAGATCTGTAAAGTTGCAAAGACTAAAGTCTCAAATCCATGTTCCTCACTCTAGCCCGCCGGCCTCCACTCACTCTAGCCCGCTGTGTGTTTCGTTGTGAAAGCGAAACTACTTTGTTTGGCCTTCCAAAAGAGGACACGACTAGAAATCAGTGGTTAAGTTGTATTTACAACACTGTTCCAGAACAGTTCAACCCAAATATTCAGATGTGCAGCGCATTTTATGGAGGACTTTTTCCTGGCAGAGTAGACTACAATGCCGGCTGTTCTGACTCACAGACTGTAAGTAAGTTTTCATATTTAAAGAATTTGCCACTGATGATTCAAACGCGAGTTTTGAGCAGTGTAGAGTAGCGCTTGTTGTTTGTCATTTCTCCGATCACAAATGCAGACATGGTTTTATGTTTACACGGCGCGATGCAACGCAACGCGTAAAAAGACAGTCTAAGTCATTATAATCCGTAATTATGTCCCCACTGGATGCAACAAATGCCTCATTTATAATGGGTTTTAATGTTTTGTCTCGTCGCTCCGGGACACGGCTTCACAGTATGGTAAGGGACGTAACATTTCCGTCACACGCTTGAGGTATTCGGCCAATCACAATGCACTGGATAGCTGGCCAATCAGAGCTCACCTCGCTTTTCAGAACGATGAGCTTTGTAAAAATCGACGCGTTTCAGAAAGGCGGGGCATAGAGGAGAAACAATAATGTACAGTATGTGGAAAATAATGTGTTTTTTGAACCTGACACCGCATAAACACATTTCATTACACCAAATACACAAAATAATGTTCTTTTTAGCAACATCATATGACCCCTTTCATTTATGAATAATATGTAAAAATAAAATAAATATGTAAAAATCTATAAATAATATGGTTAAGTAGTAAGGCTATTTCGACTATCTAATCACTGCTCTCTCTGTGTTTTGCAGGACAAGTCCCCCTTATTGTTGTGTGGATCTTTATTCCTTGAGGACAGGAGAGATGGTCAAGTCCATACAGTTTAAAACGCCCATCTATGATCTGCACTGCAACAAAAGGTGCATTTGCACACATTTTGTTCTTAATTTTACCTTGTAATCATTTTAAATGCAGCATTAAGTTTATGTACAATTTTTTTTTCTGACTCGATCTCTATCCCTTGATGACCATAGGATCCTCGTAGTTAGTCTTCAAGAAAAGATTGCTGCCTTTGACAGCTGCACCTTTATGAAAAAGTTCTTTGTCACAAGTAAGTGCTTCACGTTATAGATGTGTCTGCTGAACTTGACCCTTCTTGACCTTCTCTAGTCTCCGACGCAACTTTTCTTTGCGTCTTTGATCTGCAGCTTCGCAAAACAGGAAACCTAGTCTTGATTAATCCTCTTTGCACACTGACTTCATTAAACCCACAAAACCCCACATAACCCTCATACGTGCTGTCACACCAATGGAGCCGTTTTTCCTTGTGTCACTCCTCACGGCTATACGATATCAAAGCTCATCCACAACTCCACAGGCCTGCTTGTTTACACAAATGGCTTTTGTTTTATAATGTGTCAGAACTGGACACGTCTGTGTCAAGCTGCCATCGTGCAGCGTAAACAACAACAAACAAATGCATATTGTCACTCAGCCCAGCTCTAGCACATAAAGAGCAATTTCATCTCCTCCAGTCTAGACCATGGGCGGAATCCGAATGGCTTTTTTGCACCCTTGAAGGAGATGCTGCTCCTAAGGTCCCAACTCTCATGTGCGCGACTGGTCTTCGTATATAGTTTCAGAAGAATAAACTGTCCATGTCACCATGTGAAACCAGGCCTCTGCTGCCCACTTAAGCAATCGTCTGTTGTAAATTGCCATTAGTGTTGTTTTAATGGCTCTCATTGTCTATCCAACTTCCCCGTCAATGTCTGCGCCACAGGAAACGGGCATGGTCAATAACCCTTTACATCATTAATCGCTTCTCTAAAGCTTCCTTAACATACAAAGAACAAGACTAGATGTATTTTTTTAAAGTGACAGACTGAAGTCCATAGTTATTATAGTTAACTAAACTATTAAAAAAACCTGAAATCATAAAAAAAAGTTCCTTAGGTGTAATTTCCGGAATATAAGTCACATTTTGTGTCACTCCTCACGGCTATACGATATCAAAGCTCATCCACAACTCCACAGGCCTGCTTGTTTACACAAATGGCTTTTGTTTTATAATGTGTCAGAACTGGACACGTCTGTGTCAAGCTGCCATCGTGCAGCGTAAACAACAACAAACAAATGCATATTGTCACTCAGCCCAGCTCTAGCACATAAAGAGCAATTTCATCTCCTCCAGTCTAGACCATGGGCGGAATCCGAATGGCTTTTTTGCACCCTTGAAGGAGATGCTGCTCCTAAGGTCCCAACTCTCATGTGCGCGACTGGTCTTCGTATATAGTTTCAGAAGAATAAACTGTCCATGTCACAATGTGAAACCAGGCCTCTGCTGCCCACTTAAGCAATCGTCTGTTGTAAATTGCCATTAGTGTTGTTTTAATGGCTCTCATTGTCTATCCAACTTCCCCGTCAATGTCTGCGCCACAGGAAACGGGCATGGTCAATAACCCTTTACATCATTAATCGCTTCTCTAAAGCTTCCTTAACATACAAAGAACAAGACTAGATGTATTTTTTTAAAGTGACAGACTGAAGTCCATAGTTATTATAGTTAACTAAACTATTAAAAAAACCTGAAATCATAAAAAAAAGTTCCTTAGGTGTAATTTCCGGAATATAAGTCACATTTTAACATGCTGCGACCTATATTTCAAAGCAAAGAGCATACATTTGGATTTGTGCCGAATGAGAAAGGTACGTGAGCCTAAGTTTATTTGTATATAGCACATTTCTCACACTGGTAGTTTCGCTTTAAATAAAATTGTTTAGACTTGGCTATTTTAACAAATTTTGTTTATAATGAATGCCACTATGACTTATGTTTGTTTTATACTTAAATTTTTAATTCCTACTCTTTTCTGAATACTGTTATGTTATAAAGATTTGTTATGGAGTGAGGAGAACTGAAATACATGTCCATAGTGTTTATAATGTTTGTAAACATTTCATTTTATTTTGCATTTCATTGGATTACATTACATTTCAGTATTTTTACATTTATTTCTTAATATAATGATAACCTGAATGTATTTTAGAATTTTTGTTTAGTGTAGATCTGAAATGTCATTTATAACTTTTTGTTAATTGAATACTTTGTGTAATCAGAGATCGCCATGAAAATAGCCTTGATGCTGGCACAGCGTTAAGAAGCGAATACATAAATAATATAATGATAAAATGTAAAGATAGATGTGTTTTTTCTATCAACAACACTTTTTTTTTTTCCGGAAAATACAGTATGTGAAATAATATAAATGTTAACTGAAATAAAAACAGGAGGGAAAAAAAGAAGAAAAAAAAAATCAGCTAGTTGCCAAGGAAATATTTCTCATTTTCAATAAGTTTAACTTGGTGTACTAAAACAAACAAAATTAAAGCTGAAAGAAATTAATGAAAGAAATGAATAAAAACGATATAAACATAAAAAGTATAAAAATGGCAAGAAAACACAAAATTATTCAAATTAACTGAAATTAAAATGAAAACAGAAAAATAAACTAATTAGAAATAATTAGAAAATCTATAATAGTATATCTGCCAAAATAACACTGCCAAAGATATATGAACAATACAAAATATGGAGTTCTTTTATAGGCTATGTGCCCCACTGGCCTGCATGTTGTTTCTCATTACTTTTATGTTTTTTTTGGGTGGAAGCGTTGAATAAGGTCTTCTCTTTCTGGCTGTGAGATCACAAAACAATGGTGAAAATCCCCCAAGCCCGGCTCACAGGATGTGTTAAACATACGTTATCTCACTGCATTGGCTCCCTCCACTTTGGAAAGGCACAAAAGGCTTTTGCATTACTGCGCTTGTGGCTTACCTCAAGTCCCATTCACCCGAGTTTCAGATCCAGTCTCTACACCCTAAATTACTGTCTGCGTATATTTTATATTCACTCCATGCTATAAATTACTGTCAGCGCACTTCACACTGTGATATGCACTTGCATAACCTTTCCGTGTGCAAAGGCAGCGAAAGATGTTTGGTGTTTCTGTGCTTATTTATTAGGTTTAAGACCGTATCTGATTTGCATTTGCTTGCATGTTTGCCCTGTTTGTATGTGTTCCACATGTGATGTACAGCTACATTATCATGGCATGTGGGATCAGTACAGATTCTATGGCTGTATTGCTCTCATGGGTCAATCTGTCTGGCAGTTAATAAGCTGAGGAGCCATCCTACTGTCACAAAATGCCATAACCCTTATTTAACCTCTGGTATTATTCTAACCCTAAGCTCTAGTAAAACACAGTCTTGGGTGAGATGCTGCTATGCTGGATAATTTATGTGTTCTTTGTGCTGTTATTTAGTTCATCTCTTGTTATATTTGTGTTTTCCTTTGTGTTGCAGGCTGCTACCCCTGTCCTGGGCCCAACCTCAACCCTATAGCTCTGGGAAGCCGGTGGTTGGCCTATGCTGAGAACAAGGTAGTACAAACACCCAGTATTTTAAACAAATCTAGATGCACCCAAAATACCTTTTTTTAAAATTTTGTTTAGTAACACATTTTGTTGTGCCCTAGCCAGATGTTTTTAAACACAAGAACATGCCCTTTGTAAACGCTCAGCAACACCTAATAGTCCGCCTGATAGTTCAGGCCTTCCTTAAGATGGATTTGTTGCTGATAGTTCGTTGCTTTGCTTAACCTTAAATCAAACTGCAGCCGTCTTATGAATGTTTTTATTTCTTACGAATTGCACATATCATTATAAAGACAATGTGTGTCATATCAATATGAGCTAACAATATAATATGACATATTATTATTAAGTAGACCCTTGATTCACCATCATTTATATAATGGGTGCGGTTTGTTTGCCTTGGAGAGGCCACTTGCTGCTTAATAATGGACAGATGGGACAGTGTGTCTGGGCAAAGGTAATGAGTTTCTGGCCAATGGCAGCTGAAGTGTTGTATAGGTCTGGGACATGGACCCTAGAGGGAGTGCATCGTGGAATGGGGCTGAAGAACTGTTTGTTGTCCTAATGGCATCCTCCTCCTCCTCTTACTCACCGTGCCCGTCTGCAGACGTCCTGGCGCGGGCTGTGACAGGCCTCTGTGGGTTAATGAGTGCTGGGGAGCTGAAAGGTTCTGGATGATAATGTGACTCTGTTCTGTCTCTGTTTGTGTGTGTGTGTAGCTGATCCGGTGTCATCAGTCCCGTGGTGGGGCCTGTGGAGATAATGCCCAGTCCTACACTGCCACTGTCATCAGTGCTGCTAAAGTGAGTATGCGCTTCTTACCGCTGCTGTGACAAGTCACAGTAACATGTGGTTGTTGCGTGAAGAAGTATTTGCCCACCTAAGCCATAAATAAATGTCAGATAGATAGAATAAGCAAACTTTTATAGTAATGCATTTCACCCCAAAAAAAAAAAGTTTGGTAGGTATTAATTATAAAAAAATATGTAGATACTTAGACACTAAAAGTACTTTCTGGTCATCTAACATTAATGGGTTATTTAGGGTAAAACGTAAAACCTGTCTAGTTTAGAGAAAAGCATTATTTATTTGTCTTCTCCATCCATTCTAAATCCATATATTTTGAGTGGCTTTAGTGTCCAAATACGATTTGAGGCCACATTAACACATTAGTCCACACGTTTGACCAACACTTGTGGAATGATTTATGTACAGATTATTTCAATTGCGTCTTGCTGACTTTTCGTTTATGAGCATTATTAATTTTGTTTCATATGATTAAAACCAGCCATTCTTTTGTAAAATCGTACATTTATAACTGTTGGTGCACTTCGTTTAAAAATCATTCAATATGGTGGTGAAATCATTACTGTTCATTACACTGGCCAAACTTTTTAATGTTTTTTTTTTATTATTTAAAACTGTTGCGCTTTAAGGACATTCAGTATGATCACACTTTTATTTCTAAGACACAATTGGCCCAGTAACCCTTAGCTGTGTCACATTAATTCATGATAAACCTGTTTCCAAGGCAAGGAATCAGCTTAAACCTTATAAGTTTTATCTGGCTCTTGCAATTGTGTTTTTTCTTTGCACTTACTTGTGTATTTTCAGTCATGCTTTCTTTCCTGTTTGCACTGCTCTAAATGAAGCTCATAATGTGTGCATCCCAGAGCGGTCTTGGCGTAGTCCTCAGTGATTCAGAGACCCACTAGAGTTCATTTAGTGGTGCTTAACCTTTCATATGGTTCCAGTCTCCTCTCCTTGTTGCTTAATTGATTTATTAAGCCCACATCTGTATTCCCCGGCCGCCGGCCTGATCACCGCCTAACGAGCGCTAACAGCTTACGTGAGAGAAGTACCATTAGTCTTAATGGCGGTATACATCAAAAGGAGCACAGCAAAGGTTAGCAGAGAGGAAAACAAGGTTAAAAAAAGCCTTGATACGCAGACAGGCCGTCTGCAGACGGGGCTGTGATTTATAACCATATCCTCCGCTCTGACACACGGTCCCTGTGCTGAGTGGCTCTGAGTGCGGCCGTCTGGGGGCCAGGGGGCCATCTCCCATCAATCCTGTAACACAATCACAAAAAAGGAGGGGGAGGGAGCCTTTTGCAAAATTTAATTCTTGCAAGGCACAGATTGTGTAAATGAGTGCGATGTGACCAAAAGAGAGATGTCATTGTGCCAGCCGCAAGTCTGCATGAGCGGGGTGCCCCAGGGCTCTGTTTTCAGACCTCTGCCGTTGTGAACTGTGTTTGGGGTAAGTGGATAGCACAGCTTAAGTAGGGTCTCCTCTAGTTCTCACTTAATGGAGTGAGCATTGCTCTATGTGTGTGTCTGTCTGCCAAGGCCCCGGAGAGCTTAATCAGGCATTCAGGCCAAGCGGCAGCGTCAATACCTCGTGGCGCCTGTGTTTGTTGGGCCCTTTGGAGAATGCTCTGACAAGCCCACTAACTGACTGTGTGTAAATTGCTTTGCCCCATCAATTATTAAGAGAAGCGTTTGCCTTCTAATTGACCAACACTAATGTGTTTTCTAATCACTGCAGTTAGAGTTTTTAGTGCTAATCCAAACAGTCCCCATTGATCAGGGTTGGCGAGGGGAGGGGGCCGCCGGCTGGTGGCAGACACTGCACTGACTGCCGTGCCAGAAATCGGACATCTCTTCTCAGCTCTCTTCTCAGAGTAAACATCGACACTGACTCGCACAAACACTAACTGTTAGCCTGCACGGCTAACTCACACACCTGTCTGTTGACATTGCCTCAAACAACACTGGATGCAAACATGTTTTTTAGGTCATTGCTCAACAAAATGTCTGGATGTGTGAACATTGTTCGCAGTATTGATTTGAGTGTTGCAATAGTACTTATGTTTAGCTGGCGCAAATGTTGCTGAATTACATGTTTTTCTCAACCCTTTGCATGAATTACTGAATATTAAAAAAATAGGTTTCATTTTACTTTAAAACATCTAATTATTCCACTTTTTTCCAACTTAATTTTTACAAAAACTAAAAACTAAATTGGGTAATTAAACTTATTATGCTGTTCAAGGTGTCGTGTTCTCAGTACCTTTGGAATGTCTTGTACTAACATGTATCGCATGGATGGATCTTTAAAGGGATAGTTCACCCAAAAATGAAAATTCTGCCATTGATTACACCCTCATGGCGTTCCAAACCCGTATGACCTCCGTTCATCTTTGGAATACAAATTAAGATTTTTGCTGAAGAGCTTTCTGACCCTGCATAGACGGCAACGCAACTGAAATGTTCAAGGCCCAGAAAGGTATAAGGACATCATTAAAATACTCTGTGACATCAGTGGTTCAACCGTACTTTTACGAAGCTACAAGAATACTTTTTGTGTGCAAAGAAAACAAAAATAACGACTTTATTCAACAATTTCTTCTCTTTCATATCAGTCTTCGACGCGTGTTCACGAGAGTAACACAACACATGCATGTGCTGCTGACTGGGCCTTGAATGTGTCAGTTGCGTTGCTGTCTATATGCAGGGTCTGAAAGCTCTCAGATTTCAACAAGAAATATCTTAATTTGTGTTCCAAAGATGAATTTAATTGCCCAAACTTTTTTTTTTTTTTTCCGGCTTTAGTTTTTGTAAAAATTGAAATTTTCATTTCTGTGTTAAGGTATTAAAAAAATTCTGTGCATCACTATCATAAACCACTACAGCTTTTTGATTTTTAAATATTTTTAAAGTTGTGTCTTTGTCTTCCTGTCAGACGTTGAAGACGGGCCTGACAATGGTGGGGAAGGTCGTGACCCAGCTTGCCGGTACACTGCCATCAGGGGCACCTGACGAGGAGGGCATTGCCCATAGTGGCACCCGCCGCAGCCCTCACCAGCCTGGTGTGGTCACCATCATAGACACACACACTGTGGGAGAAGGACAGGTACGAAATGCTCTCTCATACATAATAATCTATATGTTTTTTTCCAGGGATGGAGGCTTGTGAATGATGGGATTTCTAGCACGCAACAGTATCACAATAGTGTGTCTGTTTATGGTACTTTCTTCATCCATCTGACCTTGATTCGAAAGAACCCGGATTCATTCCCCTTTTCTCCGAGATAAATAATCCATTAATCCCATTCATATCTCATTCAGTATTAGTGCTTCTTGTGGCCCAAGGGGTTTGTCATCACCTTGTCATAAGAGCACATGCTTGACCGTTCGTTCACAGACTCCGTGCCAGGCCGCAGTCTCCTGATCTCATGATTTAGCCACTTCCTGTGGCTGTTTCCCCCTTGGCTGGCATAAAACCATAGCCTTTTAGCATGAGATCACAGGCAGGTCATAGCAGAAGCATTACGGAAAAGGTCTCTCTTTTTTTTTTTTTCCACCAAGGCCTGAATGTGTTAAAAGAGGACATGTAGGTGTGTGACACATGAACATTTTAATAGAGCACTAAGTTTAAAGGCTAACTTTAATATTTGCAGTTCCTCTGTTCAAGGATTTTTACTTGGAGAAAGGTTAAGTTGGAACAGGTTTCGCTATCCTGTTGATTCTGACCCATGTAAATAGATCCTCCCATTTAGTGGGCTGTTAAAAATGTGATAGTTAAACCCTCGATTCCCCAGAGAGTCTACCGCGACCCGATTGACGTTACTGTTATTTAGAGGTATGATTTATTGTGCTTTTTTATAAACCTATACCACTCTGATTTGCCAGAGTCAACACTTTCTAAGAGAGGTTTCCTGTGTTTATATCACCATCTGCTCCAGAGCCAACCTCACAAGAAGCTGCGCTCCTCCCAAAGCGGACTAGTCATGTTTTCAATGTTCACACAAAGCATCTTTATGGAATTTACTGTCAGTGCCATTCTCCCGTGACTCCAGCAGTGGTCTGGGCATTTTTTTCCCATCTCCCCCACTCCCAGTCTCAGGGGACACGCCCCACCCCCCTCATCATCATCATCATCATCATAATCATCATCCACCTCTTGCAGCTCTGTATTTCCTGCAAGAAGTTTATTTGCTCTTTGGAGCTATCCGCACACTAATACTTTTCCAAAGCAATAGTATAGTCCTGTACAGAACAACATTGTCTGTTTTTGCCCCTAATAAAAGTGATCTGGTTTGTGTCACAGGAGCATTTTTTTGCAGTCTGAAATAAATGTCTGGGTTTTAGAGCAAGGCTGTTTTCTGTTTGGACTGGATCCTATTAAAAGCTGCCTTGCTCCTTAATGCAACACTCCGCTACATTTATCACTCTTCTCTCCGGCTGTCTCATGTCTGGGCTTAGTTATAATCTCTTTCATGAGCAAACTTAACAGAGGGCCACTGACCAGAGAATAGCCCCTTATGAGCAACACATTCTCCTTTTTCTTTCTTTCTATTTTGCTTTCGAGTTTGATGGACTATTTGAAAGATATCAGAATTTATATTGAATTTTAATATTTACACCCATTTTGGAGAAATGTTTGATATTTAAAATGCCAAAAACGTTTTACTACTTTTTGTTCAGTTTTAATTTGTTTATTTCATATTTGATTTATTATATAAATAAATAAAAATGAACATTCTCGTTATTTTTTTTGTTTTATTTTTACTTTTGTACTTTTTGTTGTTATTTTTATTTATTTATTTATTTTTTGTTTTGTTTTTCATATATTTTATATTTGGTTTATTGAATAAATAAAGAAAAAAATGAACATTGTTTATTCCTTCATTCTCTTTCTTTCTTTCTTTCTTTCTTTCTTTCTTTCTTTCTTTCTTTCTTTCTTAATCCCTTTTCTTTTCTTTTTTTCCTGTAGTAATGTACATGAGTGGATGAATTACGGATTCACATTACAGTTCTTTTAACTGGGAGCTATTAATCTCTTTTGGGTATCAAAACGTGAAGAGATACTATAGAGTTTCTTCCTGCTCTGTTTGTTTTAACTCCTTCAACATGGCACTTTTTCCTTCCTGTCTGATACAGAACTGTTGCACTGTGGGCTTTGGCAGAATATGCACATTGATCACAGTGGTCATGTGGGTTAGTCTTTATTTCTTTGAAGCCATGTTCATAAGACACACCAACATATTTGCGGGCATCTTTTAAAAAAATGTCTATTTGAATTCCATAATGAAACTATTTTGCCGAACATGCGTCATTTAAAGCTAAAATCTTCCAGTGTGGATTAAAGTAGACACAAGGATAATTGTTAAGCACCCGCAAGAGGACAGCATGTTTAAGGCTGAATGACATGATGGGGAATGGATGATGATCATAAAAAAAAAAAAACACACATGGAAACCTTTTCAGCTCCATACAATGGAACACAACTTGGAACAAACTTTGTTTTAAACAAAATGCCAAAACACATCTTTGTAATACTGATTCAATCTTATGTAACTGAAGATCAGATTGCACAGGCCACTGTAGAGCTAATGACCAGCTATGTGTCTAAAACACTGAGACGTGAGGTAAACAAGAAGTCAGCTTTTATTTATGTAGCGCCGTCAACTTACTGTAGCTTTATTGTGTGTTTTTTGGGTGTATATGTTTCAGGTTCTTGTTAGTGAGGATTCTGATGGAGAAGGAGTGATTGCACATTTTCCAGCACACGATAAGCCTATATCCTGCATGGCGTTTAATCCGAGTGGTAAGTGAACACCTCATTTTGATGCCTCACTGAGTCCTACCAAAGCACAAAACTCTAGGCACTTGGTTGGCAGACGTTTACATGGTCTTAAAGGGGACGCGTTGTGGCTATCCCTTGATTTTTTTAAATTAAAACAGTTTGATATACAATGCAGATTTATTCTGTTCACAATGCAAAGTTCTCTTCCTAGTCCACCCAGATCATTAATATAAACTGTATTGACCTGCTCTGATAACCAACACTGTACTGCACTGGTATGTGGAGGTTAGCCAATCATAAAAGAGTGCATTTTCATATAGAAGTCTTAAAGGTACAGTAGCAACCTATTTAAGGGGATAGTTAAGATTCTGTCATCATCTACTTATCTTTATGTCTTTGCAAACCTGTATATTTCTTGCTTTTGTGGAACACAACTGAAAGTATTAAATGGAGATGTTGACTTATTTTCCATATGGTCTTTCAAAGTTAGATTTTAAATTTAACAGAATATTTATTTTTGTTTGAGCCATTCCTTTAATTCTAAGGGTGAAAATGGTCACTTAAAACTAAAGTTTGACTCTTTTTACTGCAGGAAAGGTTGTCTAATATTAAAAGGGGAAAAAAATAATGATACAAAAGTGTAAAATAAGGCCCATTTGAGAAGGAGATGGCGGTGTCAGTCATGTCACCTTTTTACATGTAACCTCATCTTGTTCTGTAAGCGTTACTGTCTGCTTGGCCCTTAAGATCTGTTGTTCTGAAAAGCAGCCATTGTGTGTCTTCTGATGAATATACCCCAGGCACATAGGTCACTGTCATTTCTCCCTCTTTTTCCTCTATCCATCCTTCTCTTTCTTCCCTCTTGTCTCTCCTTAACACGTAGTGGAATATTTAGTGATCATTGATCTTGTTCATGTCTGTCTCTCTTGAAGTGTATTGAAGTCAACAAAGCCCTCGGTCTCTTTCAGATGAAATACCCTAAGCGCTGAACAGGCACAGTTTCATACCTTAAAGATGAGAAGAGCCGTGCTATTCAGAAGGCGCAGGACGGGCTCATAATAATAGTGCATTTAGACAGCCTCGTCACAACATGCTTTAGTCATTATAAGGGCCGTTATTCATTACCTGTTGGATTTTGCACCTTGACTTTTATTTATATTCAAGATTTATTTCATTTCATTTTATGATTCTTTCCTGCTTGAGCACCATGACATTATGTCACTAGGCCATGGCTCCAACTGTTTCTTGGATTTTATGGAAAAATACAGTAAAACCATGGTAGCATTGTCCTCAACCTGCCCTTGAACTAGCGTCTTGGCTCATTTTGATAGGCAGTTATCTGATCACGTTTCAATTTTACATATAGTCATGTTTGTTTCTCCGGATATCCAGTCCAGTCACAATGGCTCAGTGTAAGGTGTGTGTCGCAGATTGAGAGTCCTTCTAATAAGAAGGTGCTGAAAGCTAATGATAGCCATTGCCCTAAGTGAAATCTTTCACATATCTGTCCTTACTAAGAAATACTATGGGAGAGTCCATTGAGGATGAGTCATTGTGTACATTAGTATACAGCTCCAGGTGCAGATGATTTTTGCATTGGGTTACTAAAAGATTGTAAGGAAATGGTGCATATATTAGTACATCAAAACAATCCTGATGGATGTTCTGTATCAACCGCACAATATTGAATTGATGCCAAGCCTCAAAACTTGTGCCTGTGAGCTGCTTGGGTACAGTAATATTATAATAATATAATATATACAGTAATAATATAAAAGGATTTATGCAAAGAGCAGTTTAGAACAAGTACATATAACTTATTAATTTATGATTGATTGATTAATTAAAATATTTTATTTGTTATTATAAAATAACACTTTGTGGACTTTGACATTGATCTACTTATTTTTTTATTAAATTTATTTTTATTTAAAATAGATTTATTCTAATCACAGCTCTATACTGTGATTGTCATTGTCTCATTTGTTTCAAATTATTTCTGTTTCTATTTTAAGAGAAACTTTCGATTTTTTTGTTTGTTCAGTATTTAAATGAAATATTAGTCAGAAAATTGTCTATATATATATATATATAAAATTATTATTCATTATGAGTAATTTCTCAAGTTATTATCTATTAAGACTAACCGCCTTGTTTGTTTTTAGTAATTGTATTTTTTTTCTGTTCATTTATTAAATCCTATTCATTCTTTCTTCTCAGTTTGGAAGCCCCATATTCTTACCTTCGAATATTTCAGCATTATCGAACCATTACATTCTTTTGATTCGCGTATAAGATGAGGGAATAAAATGCAGTGAATTACACCCTTCTAATTAGATTGTCCTGAACTCACTTTGGACAGAGCATGTTTGTCTCTAGGTGGCGCTATTGGTTAACCTTTAGACCTCAGAGTAGCAAGCCACCTTTTCCCCATTAGCATGTGTGCAGCAGGAGGTGGAGGTGGAGGTGAAGTTAGTGTCCCATCACTATGGTCAACTGCACTGGAACTTTCAGCCCAGTAGTCCTTTTATCTTCGTGAGTCAGTGAAAAGTGCTATGGATCACGGGGCAAAGCAAACATACAGTCAACAATCAAGGCCTGCTCAGGGACATTACTTGTACAAATATTAGTGCAAATGTGTGTTTTTCTTAGATCAACAAAGAATTGAAGGTCACAATAAAAACAAGTGTGACTACATAACCGTCCTATCAATCTGAAAAAAGTGTGACCATAATTTTTATATATTTTGGTGAACAAAACATTTTTTTGACACAAAAAAATGTTGGTAAACATATATTCATGATTATTTATTTAATTTACTTTTTTATATGTACACTACCACTCAAATGTTTGCAGTCTGTAAGATTTTTTTGAAAGAAGACTCTTATGCTCATCAAGGCTGCATTTATTTGATCAAAATACAGTAAAAATACTATGAAATATGACTTCTATTTTAATATATTTTAAAATATAATTTATTCCTGTGATGTTTTTCAGCAGCCATTACTCGAGTTTTGTTAGGTGCATTTCCATTACAGATTTGCGCAGAACTTTGGTGATATTTTCTAAATGTCGATAAAAAAGTATTGCGAAATGACGGCGTTTCTATTAACCAATGTTATGCGACTAAAACGTAAACTTTGGCCTCTCGCGATAAGTCATGGCAACGGATTTTGGTGGGATTTTGACGGATTTTGGCTATATTTATTAAAAGGAGGCTTATGCGTGTATCTTTACAGAAGCAGCAAAGAGAGCCGCTTCAGAAACGTGCGTGGCGCGGCTGGAATAAACCATAGACTGTATAAAAACATAAACACAAGCATTGAGTGGCCACAATCAGTTTCAGTGACCGTATCAGTGCCACACTGCACCACAGACGTGTGCAGTGTAAATTGTCTAAGCATTAATGATAGGGAAAGCCCCTTTATACTGGAGCGCGGTCACTTATGAAGTGTTTCTTGGAGGTTATAGTACATTGAAGAATGATCATATGACTTTTTACATACACCATGTGACCTGTAAATGCGAAAAAAAAAACGTTTCCATTGCAGTTTTGCAAATTATTCCTTTTTCGCATTGCCTGAAAAAACACCTCATGCGAGCGTAAAAACTTTTTCGCGATATATGGGCGTTTTTGCAAAATTGACTCGTTTCCATTAGGCGTATTTTCAATTCGCAATTTCAATTTGCACAATTTGAAGGGTAATGGAAACGCGCCTAGTGTCACATGATCATTCAGAAATCATTTATAATATGCTGATTTGTTGCTCAAGAAACATTTCTTGTCAATGTTGAAAACAGTTGTTACTTTTTTTTTGTAAACTGTTATGACCCTTTTGTCTACAACTCTTTGATGAATTTATTTGAAATCTTTTTACAATCACTTTTAATCAATTGAATTCCTAAATAGGAGTGTTAAATACAAATCCTTCCAGGCTAACTGAAAAATATTGTTAAATACTGACCTGTGTTTGAGAATCACAGCTTTTTGGTTTTTCATTCTGTAATATTTTGGTTACTCTTTCACTGAAGAATTTTGTCCCAGCCTAGGGAGGCCCCAGTCCTGGTCCCCCGAGTGCTGAGCCCCCAGTGTGGCCCTTTGTCAGGCACCCTCTACCCTCATGTGGAAAGTGCTTTGGGGCGGCTTGTTTTATATAACAGCGAGGTGCTGTAAACTTCAAACAGTTTAACCTTCACCTGTCAACTTTATTCAGAAATAATGGGATGTGTCTGTTATCACCTCATTTGCTTGGGCATAAAACGAAAGGGCTATAATAATTGTTTTGAGTTATGAAATTGTTTGGCACCAGGAAGGCTGGAAGAAATCCCCGTAGTCTTCGATACAGAAAAAAGCCTCTAGATATGCTGACTAACAAGGTCAGGCTGAACGTTCCCCGAGACTGGTGTTCACATTCATGCTTTAATTTACGTTCCTTACATCATTAACACATGATCAAAACCAGCTCTTTGAGATTTGCAAGAAATGCCTCCTCAGCACTGTGAAGGAAAGTGAACGGCAGCTTGATTTTTAAGTGAGAAGTTTAGCCTCGTCCGCCTAGCCTGACTTGTCCAAAATGTTGAAGCCGCAGTTGAAAGTGTCACTCTGGCCACAGGGATGACCGCAGCTCCATCTGGACGGTTTTGATTTCAGAAAGGGAAAAGGCCGACTTGAAAAGAAACAATGTGGCGACTTGACATTGACTGGAACATGCAAACCTCCACAGAAAAAAATAAAATAAAAAGCACTTATGTAAGAAATCCAACTCAACAGTGTGTGTTGGATGAAAAACAGAAGGGCGAGGGTAGAAAATGGCGGCCAGTCGGGTAGCTGGCGCTTGTGCTGTGGTGTTGGAGCTTCTATTCATAGGCGCATAATTAAAGGATGCTGCTCCGAACAGCGGCGTGCAGGACTCACTTTAGCCAGAGTATCTGTTTTTCACTCCTTGTCCTCTTCTGCTCTCTCTTCTTCCATTTGAGGATGCTTCTACAAAGTTTAAATGGCGCTAAACTGGTCTTAATCG